GGCAGTAGACGGGCGAGCAGCATCGAGTGGTCGCGCTGGGGGGCGAGGGCGGCGTTGATGGCCGACATGGTCACATCACACAGACCATTCAGCACCGTGGCATACTCGGCCAACACCAGCTGGCGGCAACCGCGTCGCCCCAGATGTTCGGCAGTGGGCGTGGGGCCGCTGAGGGACTGGCCGGCGCCGGCTCTCAGAAGGGTGCGGATGACGGTCTCGAGATTGGGAATTTCCCGTGTGCGGATGTCCTCCTCGACGTCTTCTGCAATCTCGTTACGGCCCAGCTTCTCAGTGGATATACGGACACTGCCGGCAGCGATGACGAGGGGTGTCAGATTGTTGTTCGTTCCTCTGTCGATGTCGTCAGGTGAGAGCTTGCGACACAGCCAATCCACGAAAAAGTAAGAGCCCCAACGCGCCGCCCGGTGCAATTCCGTGTGGCCAGAATTGTTGGCCGCCCTGATGTCAGCTCCGTTGTCCACAAGCGGGTCGAGGTACTGGCTCATGAAGGGCTGCGAGAAGCGACCTATACCCCTGGCGAAGGCCCAAAACACCAGGCCTCCGCCTCCAGGACCTTCTTCAGTCGCCACTGTGCTGTCGTGCTGAATGAGCCGGCGGTAGATGGCCATCAATTGCCGCTCGCACTCGGGGGTAGGCCGACACGTATTGTACTCCGGCAGGCACATCACCAGGAATCCGCGCAGCTGGACGCCCCGTCGCAGTAAGAGACCGACTGCCGGCATGTTGGCTGCCGCAACGGCGACACGGATGGGTCTTGACTCCCTGTTGGCAAATCGGGCATTGATGTCGGCCCCGCCGTCGATCAGTGCCGTCATGACGGCATCTTGGAGCTGAGGAGACGACCAGCGGGGCAGCCTAACGGGATGCGGACGCGACCACCTATTTGGGACTTGCCCCTGCACCCAGATGGACGGGATGGTGGAGTCGGTCATGTCGTCGATCGACAGACTGAGCAGCGGATAGGCTTTCTCATGGCGGTGCCGCAGTGAGGGCTCGACACTGGGGTTCGCCCCCTGCCGGATGAGCTGCGTCACTTGGTCTGCGTCGGTGAGTGTGCGGCGGATCACACCCGTGGCAAGCTCTCGAGTGGCATCGCTGGTGCCCTCATCAAACGAGGTGTCGACACCATCATTCAGGTCAAGCCACCCAGGCGGTGCAGCGGGTTGCGGCGAGGATGCAGCCATCAGTCACATCCACTCGCACCTGCACATGAACGTTCGACACACACATATACAGACAGACAGTGCCGTGACTCGCCAGGCTGCCAAGTGAGCCGGCCTTCTCTCGGTTTCGCACCTGTTGCAGCAGTCGCGGCCAGCTGTGCACCATCCACACACCCTTAGGTGATGACCTGCAGCCACACAGACAGCGCAGAGCAAATGACAGACAGAGCAAAGCAAATGGTGGCTTCGTGTGTCAACTCGCGTACAGAATGGATAAGTGACATCAGCGCAGCACCACACACACCAGCAAGAGTGCCGGCAACGCCCAGGCATCGCCCTTCGCCCCCATCTTTTCTTCTCCCGCCCGATCGCGCACCTTCTGGGACACCTCGCAAACCAAGCAACAGCGAAGCAAAGACTCATTCATCGTTACGTCGCATCGTTTGTGGCAAGATCCAGCGCATTGCATCTCCCGACGCCTCTCCGATATGTCAATGAAGACCGACCCATCATCGCCGGTGCACGGGACAGAGAAGGAGCTTCGGTCCCTCCTCCACGAGATTGACGGCTTCCATGGCGACTCACAGGGTGAGCAGGCACACACACACACAAAGGGGGAGGGGGGAGGGGGAGGCATGGTGATCTGTCTGTCGAGAGAGATCTTGCGAGGGGCGGATCTGTGCGCGTGCATCGGTTGCAGGTCTGAAGCGACTCCAGGGCATGGTCAACAAGATCGACAGCTCACGGTTCGCCGCTCGCTGAGCGAGGGGGGAGCCGGGATCTTGTCTCACTGTCGTGTGTTGCATGTCTGTGTGTGTATGTGTGTGCAGGGTGAACGGTGTATTCGGCTGGCAGGATGGTCAGGACCCGCCCGAGGGCCAGGCTGTGCTCCACGCCCTGCTCCACGAGTGCTATCGCAAAGTGAGTCTCCGCAGCCACCGGACATGCCACACACAGCCCGCACACTCTCTCTCTCTCTCTCGCTCTGCGTGTGTGTGTGTGTGTGTGTGTGTCCGTTGTGTTGCAGGTCAAGGGCAAGTTGGACCTGCTGGACATGGTGGAGCAGGAGGAGCTCGACCCAGCACTGCTGCCTATCAAACACGACATCGAGGGAGTCATCAAGTCACTCAAGGTGGGTCACGCATCACGGCTCAATGTATGAGCCAACGCAAAAAGAGCCTGTGTCTGTCGTCCGTTCAGGCGGTTGAGAACCCCACGGAAGAGCTGCCAAGGATCCAGGGACGGCTAGACGCCATCGACAGCAAACGGTAGGCGGACACACACACACACACACACACACATGCACCATGCAGAGAGAGGGACAGATCGCACTGTGTACTGCGTGTGGGCGTGTGTGTCATGGCTCAGGGTGAATGGCATCTTCGGCGACCCCAAGAACATCCTGCCGGGTCAGGCGGTGCTCCACGACCTGCTCAACGAGGCGTACTCGACCGTACACCAGCTGCAGGCGCGGAACTAAACACACCCTCACTGACTACATACGTCCACACACCGAACCGAACCACCACACTGACACATACATATCTGTTTCCGTGCCACTGACTGACTGACTGGATGAATGGATGGGTGACGGCCCCTTGGGTGCGTGCGTCTGGGACGGAGGGAGGGCAAAGTACGTACGTATCTGTATGTCTGGGTGTGTGTGTGGGTGTGGGTGTGTGGGGGTACCTACCCAACGGAGCGGGCAAGGTCGGACATGGGAGGCCAGGCCTTGTGAACAGTCAGGCAGACAGACAGCGCTTCGTTTCAAATCATGGCGAGGGGGGAGGGAGGGACGTTGTGCTGCCTGGTTGCGTGTCGGCTGCCTTCCCTCGTGCGGTGGTGCTGGGCGAACAGAGTCTGACCATCCACTCATGAGCAGACGATGTTGCACTGGCACCAACGTACGCGGGAGGGCAGCCGGCACATGACTGACTGACTGACTGACGCGAGCACCAGTAAAGCCGTCGAGGGATTGATGCCATGTGGTGCGGGCTAACTCACTTACTGACTCAATCAATGGCTGGCTGCCTGTCTATAGCGTGCGTGTGGCTGCGTGTGGCTGACTAGCTTACCTCACTCACCCCACCCTCGTCATTTTCCCTCCCAGTTGTGTTCTTTCTGCCAGCCGGCCGTCGTGTGGCGATAAATGCTAAGCTGGCAATTTGTACTTCCTTACACACCACACCACGCATGACATGGTGGTCCACCTGTCGGTCGCGCATTGTGGGATAGATGCGGCGGGGCGGATGCGGCAGATCAGATGACATGAGATGAGTCGAGTCGGTCCCATTCCATGCGATTCGATTCGACTCGACTCGACTCCATTTCTCCCTTCTCCTTTTTACTCCGTCGGTGTGGTGTTTGTATGTCTGTAAGGGAAGGAAGGAACGAATGGCCGAGACGGTCGGGCAGCTCGGTTGTCTGGCTGCCCTGTCTGGCCTGTCTGTCTTTGCGTCTGGCTGGCTGTCGTTGACCACTTATTGCACGTCGTATGTCTGTGGTGGCTGGATTGACGGCGGGAGGGTTGGTTGCTTCGTCGACGTGGTGTCCGGGCAACCATCCAATCGCCACGCGTGTGTGCGCTTAACGTCCGTCTGTAAGCCTACTGACTTGCGAGAAATGGCGTGTGCGCTGCGGGGGACGGCGGGTGCATGGCTGGTGTCTCGGTCACCTGCAACTCTCACTTGCAGGCCGGCAGGTCGGCACCTGTGAGTGTTGGTTGCGGGCGGGCGTGTGACATCGACATGACCTGATCGAGACCCCGAAGGCGTGTATTTTCCACAGTGAGTGTAGCGATTGGCTTGGGTTGTGTGTACATTTATTATTCTACCTACATAATTTTCTCCCTCCCTCGACGGACGGATGGCTTGGCTGCCGCTTGAACATATGATGAAGGTGCCACTGGTGAGCATGTCTCGCCTATTTTTCGCCGTACGAGCAAAAACCATACATACCGACCGGTGACGTGACGTGACGTGACGTGACGTCGCTTCCTCCGCTGCGCGTGTCTGCGATGGGAGGGATGTTGGTGGGGGTGGGGTGGAGTGGCCGGCTGGTTCACAGTCTGTGCCAACGGGCTATTTCCCCATGCCCACGACATCTCTCTCAACAGGAACAGCGAGCGGAGAAGCCAATCAATACGTACGGAGAGATGGAAAGACTGTTTTTCTGCAGCAGCTGAGTGGGGGTGCGGGCACCGGCTGGCCGATCGACGGACGGTTGTATACCGCATGCCATGCAGTGCTGTGTGTGTTGGTGTGATGGATGCAAGGGCGGGGCCGTCGCCCATCTCTGTCTCTGAGTGTGGCATGCCGGCAACATGTGGACGGACTCGTTGTCGAGGATGGATGGATGGATGGACAGAACAGCAGTGAGGGTGTGGGGCGGGCCGGGTGGACGGACTACCAATACCGATATTATACGTACATGAGTTCATGCCAATGTACGTGAAGACTCTGTGTGTGTGTGCGTGTGCGGACGGACGGACAGCTGTCGCATGTTCGTGTGAAGGGTCTCCCTAACGACCTGCCTACCTGCCTGCATTGCTTTCCGCCACGTCGCCACGTGACAACCATCACACGATTTGATATTCGGGTGATTGTTATATTCATTCGTTCCTGGCATTGTCCAGCCAATCGGTCACATTACACAGGTACCATACGCAATACACACACACACACATACACACCCACACCCACACACGGACGCCCCAGCAGACGACCACGACAGGCAGACGAGAAGAAGCCGCGCTGCTCGCACACACCACAGAAACGGCCGTCTGCGCTGCGCATCCATCCCATCACCAAAGACAAATACCAGCACGCAACGCTCACACGCACACACACACACGCACAGACAGCTCCCGTCCCCCTCTGCTGCGATGCGCACACAAGACAAGACCCGTAGGCAGGCAGACAGTCAGACAGACAGACACGTGCCAAGAGTCAGCAAGGCAAGCATAGCATAGCATAGCATACACACACCGGAAAAAACAGCAGCTCTGTCGAGTCGACTGACAGAGAGATGGATGGAGAAAATGACTTTCCTGACTGGGCGGTCCCGTCCCCGTTTTCAAAAAGTGTGTGAGCGATTCCATGCGCCATCCATCCATCGCCTGGCGTGGGTGGGATGCCGTGTGTCTCGTTTGCCTCGCTGTCAGGAGTTGCGTCTGCTGGTGCTAGCGTCTGTTGCACCTGACGACTGGTGCAACAACAGCCAAGACCACCACACGCCGCACACCTGACAGCTGGGCAGACGACACGTACCAACGGCCTTCACCCAGACAGACAGGAACAACAAAGGAGGTCTCTCTCTCTCTCTCTCTCTGGCCACACTCCCTCCTGCCTGGTGTGCTTGTACCAACACGTACCCTACGTTCGCAGATCGATCACAGCTGTCGGCTAGGCTGGCAGGCTGTCAGGCAGGAAAAAAGCGAAACGCGCTCTCATTGTGGGCGGGGGGAAACTTGTGATCTTTTTCTGCCTCACCTTCCTGTATTATGCTACAACAGAACAGCAGCTAGACCAACACAATTGGTTAACCGCTCGCTCAGCTCACTCACTCCCCCGCACGGCACGACACGACAACCAGCCCAAGAACCACCAGCACCACACCAAGGACAGCCATACAGGCTAATCACGTCACGCGGCACACACACGCACTCACGCACGCACGGCACAGGGAGGGAGGGAGGTGAGGTGCACACGAACGCAAAAACCACAGCTAGGTTAAAAACCACACACACACAAAAGCAACGCACGCAGCGCTGTCCTGTACTGTCAGCAGCACGGCACGGCACGGCACGGCACGGCACTCACCACCATGCAAAGCATTGCAATCAATGCAGTCAGTCAGTGATCTTGCCTACCTACACCGTTTTGTGTGTCTGCCCTTCCCTCCTATCCATCACATCACAGCAGCCAGCCTGTTCGCACCTCACCCCGCCCAGCCACTCTGTTTGCCGATCCACATCGGAAACAAGAAAGCTGAGCGGGAAGAATCGCAAACCAGCTGCTGCTGTGACGAGAGACGACAGACGAGAGTAGCATACCAGATCCCCTACACCACCCCGCTGTCCTGCCTGCCTGTTTGCCTGTCTTATTCACATGAGCATCACGTCGGTCGGTGTGAAATGCATCGACTCTGTGTGTGTGTGTAATTATGCCCCGCTGGCCGGCACTCCGAGGTCTGATTCGTCCATGGAGTTGCCGTCCTTTGGGTGGTGCATGGGGGTCCCCGCCTTGGGCATCGGGCTGTAGGTCACCGAGGGGGGCGACTCGGGCACACACGACACGTCCTTGACGCCGTTGCTGCGGTCGATGAACGACAGGCGCAACGCTACAGCCTAGATAAGATACATACAGCAGATGTCAGGCAACAGACAGACAGACAGGTGAGGTGACACAAAGGACAGGATGTTTGTTCTCTGTGCGGGGCGGGGGTAGGGGTGTACCTCCTTGGTGTCAGGTGAGAGCATGACAGCGATCCCGTAGGCGCCATCGCCCCAGCCAGCCGATGAGACAGCGCCAACCGGACCTGAGGATGCGATGCGCCGCAAACCAAGCACAAAACCAAGCACGAAACACCAGAAACAATGGACCGCTCACACAACACATGTCGCAGTTGTCTGTCTGTCACGGCACCCCCACCCCACACACCGTGCACGTCTCCGGTGATGCCGGAGAGGTCACTTCCGTCAGTGATGGAGCACACACGGCCGTACCAGTCCTCAAACCACTCGCGCCCCACACCGCCCGGAATGCTGCACACACACACAGCCAAAGAGACAGACGTCTCTGTGTCAGTCAGTCAGTGCATCTCTGTGTTTCTGTCTCCTCTGCCACCGGGGCGGGACGTACGTCTCTCTGCAGTAGAAACCCGCCATGCCGCTGTCGACGCCGCACACCAGCTCGGTGGTCTCCCATGGCAGGGCGTCGATCTTGCCGATGCTCAGGTCGCACAGCGGCACCGCTCCAGCGTGGCACACGATGAGGTCGGAGATTCGGTTGTTTGAGTCAAACAGGCCGAAATCGCACTTGACGGCGTAGGCGTGCCACATGCCCGGCTGCACGGGCGACAGGTTGACACCGGCATCCACGTAGGCGGGATCGCCACACACCTTTGGGTCGAAAGGGACACACAATGACATTTTCAGATGCTGTTTGTTGTGCTCTGGCGCCTTGCCTTGCTAACTGTATGCTCATCTCATCTCACCAGGCAGTCACTTTGTGCGATGAAGCAGCCCAGCGGCACCAGTGAGGCCGACACCTCGTCGTCAAAGGCTTCAGCCGGGATCATTTGGCCAACAACCACTGGCACAGAAGAGCCAACACAACGCCAAGCACAAGCCGGAAGACTGAGAAATGCTGAGGCGCAGATCTCTCACCTCTCCCGCGAGTCTAAGCTCGCGTTGATCTCACTGCCGAATTTCGTTGCCATTTGGATGATGGGGTGTGAATACACCCCTCAGGAGAAAGCAGGGTGAAGAAAAACGCCGACATCCCGAACAGCAGAAGATTCTGCGCTGACGAGCTTCCTTGGCCCATCTCCGAGCATCTGTGCGGGGTTTTCGAGGCTGGACAGGAGGCTGGGATGAGCGGCAGAGAGAATTTCGTCACGGTTCCGTCGCCTGAAGGCCACACGCTTCACGCCCAGTGCTATGTGAGGGAGGGCTCCGACTCTGCTGTGGTCATCTGCCACGCACACCCCCTCTATGGCGCCTCCATGAATGGATATGTCGAGGTGCGGACCAGGCCGACACACACACACACACGACCCGACAGCCATGCAACCGAAAACCAGCGCTGCAATCTGTGCATTTGGTGCGGTGCTGTTTGTGCTTATGACATGCAGGAGATGATGTATCACGACTTCAAAAGGCGGGGCTACTCGGTCGTGAGGTTCAACTTTCGCGGCGTGCAGCCGTCCACCGGGGTGCACGGCAACATGGAGGGGGAGGTCATCGATGTCAACGTCATGTGCGAGTACATCAAGGCAGAAACCGGTCAGTCGGTCAGCAGGGCAAGCAAGAGATCAGATGCGCATGCCCACGCCATGCCATGCCATTCCTGTGTTTCTCTCCCTTCGCACACACGCACAGGGTGCAGTCGACTCCTCCTGGTGGGTTATTCCTTCGGCTCAGTGGCGGCCTTCCTGGCCGCAGCACAACGCGACGACATCGCCGGCGTGGTGCTGATCGGCTACCCCCTGAGCCTCTACCACCCCACCTACACAGACGCCCTCCTCTCGCTGGCCTGCCCGAAGCTCTTCATCATCGGCGATGGTGACGACGTCGCGCTGGGTGACGAGTGCGCGTGGGGGGTGTTCCAGACGTTTGTTGACGAGAGTGTGTGTGAGCCGAAGAGTGTGGAGAGGATTGAGGGCGCTGGGCACTTCTTCCAAGAGATCAGCCCTGCCAACATCACGGAGCCGTTGGGTCGGTGGCTGGAGGGGCTCAAGGGGTGAGAGAGGTGGAGAGACGAGGCATGTCTGCGCGTAGATAGGGAGAGGTAGCACGTAGACAGATAGATAGACGGGCGTTTTGTAGATGGGTGGGTGTTCATCCGGCAGAGAGAGCAATGGTTTTCCTGCGGCGCATCAGTGAGTGAGAATGCGTGTGTGTACAGCGAAAAAGAAGGCATTCAGTCAGCGTCGCAGACTCGCAGATCTGATATGCTCGGACACAGCAGCGAGCAGGTCTGTTCCCTGAGGACCTCATCTCTCGAGGGCCCTACAGGGCACAAACTCGCACGTTTGTCTGCCAGGACCGGCCGTGAGGGACGTGGTGTTATGGGTCGGGTTTGGGTTGTATGGTGGTTTGGTAGTGCATGTGCTAGTCGCATATGTTATTGCGTTTGATGGGCCGTTCCGTTTGTGTCAGACTGCTGATGTCATTCTTGCCGTGTGATGCGCTTGTGTTTCTGCGATTGCGTGTGCCTTTGCATGTGTGCACATCCGTATTGACTCTAGATCAGACGTGCTGGTCGCCCATGCTTCCGTGAAAGCCAATCATCTGATCAGGGTTCGGGTTTCAGGGTTGAATGGGATATCATATGGCGCGGTGGAATCGTTCCAAGTGGTCCTGCGCTGAATCACTATTTGCCTTCTGTAGAGATCTAGCGATGCCGTGTCTGCCTCGCTCTCCTCCGCCATTTGCAGCCCTCCTTGCCCGCCTCTCGGCTTCCTTCGAGCCGTGCTGACGCTGCAACCACCGGCCCGTTCGCTCACCATGACGAGCGCTGCAGGTGAGTGAACACAAAAGGCGACAGATCGATGAGCTGCCGGCGCACTCTTTTGCGAACTGCTGATGGCATGCTGCTGTGTTTTGCAATGCTTGAGTTGTCTGTCTGTGGCGCAGGAAGCGGTCGTCTGCGTGTGGGCGATGTGCGCTGGTGCGGCGTGTCTGAGGGCAAGATCAGGCGGGCCAGGCCTGTATTCAACGAGGAGGTGATCAGATACCTCTACGACTGGATGACCGGTTTGAAATGAACACGCACGCACACGCAACGCACGCGAAGCCCCATGCATTCATTCACTGTTCGTGTGTTGCTGTTGCTGGTGTGACATGGTATCAGAGCGTCACTTGATCTTCAAGCGCAAGAATGCGGGGGAGCCGGCGCCGTGGACGACGGACCCCGTGCTGCTCCAGTGGCGGTTCTGCAACGTACGCAGAGAACTAGACAGAGAATCAAGGTACGGTGGATGGTTAACAGCAGGCCGACACAGACACACCGACAGTATTGCCTGTCTGTCTGCCTGTCTGTCTGTCTGTCTGTCTGTGTCTGTGTGATGTGATGTGTTGTGTGCAGGGCACTGATCGAGCGCATTGTGAAGAATCCCGACCTCTGGTACGGTCAGCTGGCTGAGAGAAATGCACACGTGTGGTGAGGTGATGTACATGTGGCTGTCCAGGGTGTGCGTGTGCGTGTGTGTGTGTGTGTGTGTGCAGCTACCGTGCCAAGGTGTTGAATTGCATCTGGTTCCGGCTGTTCAACAAACAGGAGACGTTCGAGATACTTGGGCCGCTCAAACTGGAGGCAAGCATGCACCAAACACACACCCACATGGACATGCCCTCACCAAATCACACACAACACGAGCTCCCAATGGATGCGTTTCCTTCTTCCTCTCTCCGTGTGTGTGTGTCTGTGCTGTTGATCTCCACTACACGGCAGGACTTTGCCGCTCTGCATGCCGTTCCGCGGGTGTTCCAGCACTACAAGGAGAGGTTTGAGGAGTACCGCCGCAGCCACCCATCCTACCAATTCTTCACCAACGCCTTCCACACCAGGGGCCTCCTCGCCCAGTGGAAGCAGCCACCGCAGCTCAACGGAGGTATGGCTCCATGCACACATGCCACATCGACAGGATGCACCCACCCATTGCGTGTGTGCGTGCATGCAGGTGAGGTAGCGTCTGACAACGAGCGCATGCTGTATATGATCGACCACATCTACAGCAGCGGCCTGCTGGTATGTTGACCAGGGGGAGCGCACCTCAGCAATGCAATGCAATGCCTGCCTGCATGTCTGTGGGCGTGTACGTGTGTGTGGTCAGGCCAAGATAGCTGTGACGGCTGATCCGTCCTATGTCAAGCCCGGCCTCACACAGAGTGACGTCTTCAACACACTCTGCACAATCAGAGGTGGGTAGATGGGTGTGGGTCGGGATGGAAGGTGTGTGTGGTGTGTGTGTGCATATATATACATATCTCTCTCTCTCCCTGCTGTGTATGTGTAGGTATCGGGTCGTTCCTCGCCTACCAGATGTTCGTCGACTTCACCTACATAGCCGAGTTTCCGTGAGCAGCCAGCGCACACACACACGAATGGTCGACCGTTTCATGGCTGCATGTGTGTGTATGGTCTGCAAATACCCAGGTTCAGTGAGAATGAGTTCACGGTCGGCGCGATGGATGAATGACGGATGGCACACACCACCACACGAGCCCCGCGTGCAACTCGTCACGTGTCTCAGGTTTCCTGCCCCGGGTGCAAGGCGGGGCTGTCGAAGCTCTTCGACGACCGAGCGGGTCAGTCAAATCACACACACGCACTCTCTCATGTCCATGTGTGTCAATGCCTGCAGGTATGAGTGACGAGGAGCTGCTGTTCTGGCTACGCGACAGCCTGGAGGCGGCCTTCAACAGCAGGAACCTCCCATTCAACCAGCACGTGAGCCATTAATGCAGAGCAGAGATCATATGACATGACATGGCAGAGCCCACGTGTGTGTACGTTACATGTGTGTGTGGTGCAGGAGTTGTTTGACGACCTGCCGGAGGACTGCGCCCGGCTGAACGTCATGTGCCTGGAGAACGCCATGTGCGAACTCTCCAAGTACACCAGAGGTCAGTCAATCACACACGTCCCCCACACAGCAACTGTGACTGCCTGCATGTCTGCATGTCTGTGTGTGTTGCAGTGCGTCAGGATGCCGGCACCCCCCGAGTGCGCTATGAGGCCTCCACCGCCCCCCTGCCCGGCGCCACCACCGTGTGGAACACCGGCAAGGGCAGCGTCAAGACGGCCTCCAGCGGGGCCAAGAAGCGCACGGCGGCTGTGCAGCCGACACTAGACCGGTACTTGGTCAAGAAGACGGCTGTGGGTGTGGGGGAGGGGGCGGGGTAGGTGTAGCCAGCCAGCGTGTAGCCAGGTAGGTAGATGGGATGGGATGGGTGGATATGGTCGCCTGATTACTGACTGCAGTGTGGCGTGCCCGGTGTACAGTGACAGACAGACAGACGGTGGACATGTGTGTGGGTGTGCTGTGCATGAGACTTAATTTGTTGGCTGAGTTCATTCGAGTGGAGGGAGTGCCATCGGCCAATCAGTGGGTGTTGAACGAACGGGTGTGCAACAGTCTGCTAGACAGCCAAAACACAGGCGGGAGTGGGCGTGGCCGTCATGCACCCCTCAGATATATACATCAGACACACAAACGCGGCCAATCCATCCATCCATCCATTCCCATCCACTGCCACACATGCACCCCAGACAGCCATTGCATGCACAGCTACCCCTCCCCTCCCGTAGAGGGGACCAATCCAACTGACGAGAGAGTGGAGTGGTTTTCAGCCTGCCTTGCTGGCCGTGTCTCTCTTCCTCTTAAGCCCTCCCTTGTCTGTCTTGCCGCTACTGCTACTGCTGCTGGTGCCCCCGTTCGCGCGACGCATCTCAAAGGCCCAGCTCTCGTCACCTTCAGGAGGCGACACACCAAACCGACCCTTGGATGCATCACGCAACACACGCAGCAGATTGTAGCGGGGGCTAGGGCGGACAGTCAGAGCGATACAGTCGAGGGAAGCATTGGCAGCTAAGGCCGCGGCGACGCACTGGGCAAAAGAGCGGTGCATCTCCTTTGCCCTGCTATCACTCAGACCTGAAGCGCGACCAAAACCTCTCTCAGCTTTTGTGCTAATCTCAACCTCAATACGACTAACCCGGCCACTCTCCATGAGGCCTCTCTCCCTCTCTGCGCCTGCCCCAGCCCCCGCCCCCTCCCCACCCTCCCCATCATACAGCGACCAAGTGATGTAATGGCTGGTTGAGTTGGCCTTCTGCAGGTCACCTATCGTCACATGAAAGGCTACCGTGAGCGGCCTGCCCTCTGTGGCGAAAAAGCCGACACTCGGAGGGATGAGACACAGCTCAGTGTGCGGGGTGGCCCACACGTCGCTACTGAAGGTGACCCGCTCGAGGGAAGGCAGATCACCCAGCACAGCCCCCAGCCCCCCGTCGTAGAATCCCATTCCCCCGAAGTCCCTCTCTTCGACCTCGACCGACTCGACGGCCGGGAAGAGGGAAGCGGGATTGGCGAGCACGTATGGGGGCAGTGGGTGACCGCCGCCACTCGGTAGCATTGTCAGCTTCTTGATCTTGGCACACTTGAGTGTTGTCAGGTCCGGGTGATCCTCTTGTCCAGCAGTAGCTTGTGAGAAGAGGTCGACGGTCTCGGCCTGCGTGCAGAGGGTCTGGGCGGTGGGCAGGCCGGCGGCGAGGTCGGCCGCGCTGCCGTGGAAGGGAAGGCGGAGATGGATGTCAGGGTAGGTCTCTGTGGCGTTGGGGGCGAGACACGATGTCCGGAAACGATGAACGCTCTTGTACACATAAGTATGCACACAGACGGGGATTGACCAGTGCCGTGTTGTCGATCGAGGTGGCCTACCGAAATGTTCATTACGGAATTGATGATGGGGTAGCCCAGATTCATCTCGATCGTCTGCAGCCGCGCCGTTCTCGCTCCCCCGCCACCCATCTGGTCGATGAAGTCATCATCAGGTATCCCATGGGCGCCCTTCAGGCTCACCAGCGTGTTCCCTAAACGAGTGGACGCACCACATGCGTGCGACGGACAGACTCCTCAATCCTTACATGATGGTGTGTTGCTGAGGAAGTGGGGCACGTTGCCATAGGTCTGGTGGTGGTTTGTTGTCAGGACGAGCGAATGGATGCCGGCAGATGCCCTCGACACCCAAGAGCGAGGGCCCGTCGCTGGGAACCACACCGACGTGAGCTCCGACGCTCCCAGCTCTGTCAGCGCTGGCAACTGGTAGTCGCGGTCCTGCACACGCAGACCAAGACACACACACATGGAGGTAAAAGAACTGCCAGTTGCAGTGATGTGTACGTCACGTCTCACCTGTGCGATTTGGCTCCACGACTGATGCACTGAGGCCTTGTGCAGTTGAGGGAAGACCAGCTGCTGGCCTCTAGGGGGCATTTGGATGGGTTCGCGCCACTGTCGGCCATGCCGACTCCTTAGGGCGCCACCATCTGGACACGTCCATGCACGCAATAGGCACCAACAATGATGTCCAGGCAATTTCTTTTTTGTCTGCCTACCGCGATGACGTCTGTATGTCCCTGACCGTGGCGGCAGTAGCCTCGAGCAGCCGTACGAGCGATGGCATCGGTCGGTGATCCACGGCAAATGACTGGCACGCAGCTAGGCGACCTGAGAAGACCGACCAGGCCATCCGTCTCCGGTGACAAGCCGGCTCTCTGGGACCACCCACCTGTCTCAAGCCATGTGTTGGCAATGTCAGGTTTGGGGCAGCGATTGAGTTCGAGGATCGGATGCATGGCGGGCTGCTGGGTGAGGGATTTGAAGTGTTGGCTGACGGACGAGAGGCACTCCATGGTGGAGATGAAGCCGAGGTAGCCGCCGATGCCAACACGCTGGTCGTCACTCATCCACAGGCCCTCAAGCAGACCCTCCAGACACAACAACTCCTGGAAAGGGAAAGCCTCAATATGTACTTTGAATCTTTCCCGCCTCCCTCCCTCCCTCCCTCCCTCCCTCTCTTTCCCTCTTTCTACCTCTTGGTCGTTCTGGTTTAGATTGTCCATGTAGTGCTGCAGCGTATCGATCTTCTTGACAAACTCTTCTGTCTGCTCCCTGGCCGTGACGGCCGCGCTGTGCAGCTGCGCCTCGCCATTGCGGCACCCCATCGATATCAGTACATGACGCTGCCGCTCAATCGCCTGACGCACACATGTACAGAACAGAGGGGCAAACGGGCATGTTAGTGGCACCATGCACATGGCTGCATGGGTCTATCTTGGCTTGACCCGCATGTGGTTCTCCGCTGTGTGTGTCTGTGGAGGCGGGAGGGCATCCATCGCACTGAACACCTCCTCTGCCTGAGGCATCGCACCGCACACACCACACTGACGTACAACTTTCCATTCGGGTCCTGCTGTTTGTTACCTTGGCTTTGGCCTCCTCGACAAGTACGAGCTGCTCTTTCAGCGCCTCAGAGACGCTATGGAATGCTGCCAACACATCCTCAGGACCCCTCACTACCACAGCCGCCGCATCCTGGCCCATGAAAGACACGAGGAAAAAGCACAACATCTGTGATTGATGTATGCAATGTGGACCATCCTCACCTCCATATCGGTATCAGCTACTCCCCCGCCGTCAGGCCCGTCCCCCTCCTCATGATCTCCCTCCTCAGTGGCCGGCGCCTTGGCTTTGGCCTTACCCCTCCCCCTCCCCCTCTCCTTAGCCGCACCCTTCCTGCCCGCCGCAACACCAGCCGCCCTGCCGTCGGCGTCCAGCCGCTGCTTCTTCCTGGCTGCAACACCCTTGTTCCCCCTCGCTATGTCCTCCCAGTCGGATCCGCTCTCGGACGAGCTGCTACTGCTCTCATCCATGGCCTCATCTTCGTCCTCGCCCTCCTCCTCCATCTGACCATCGTCGTCCGCGTCATGGTGGCGCTTCCTGCAATGTGGTGCGGGCGCCGATGCGGCCCGTGATGCGGCTGCTGCTGCTAAAGCCGCCTTGCGCTTCGGACGCTGGCTATCCATAACGCGAGAAGCCGACGAGGATTTCGTTTACAAATGGCAGGGGATTCCGAAGCAGAGATAAGTTGGACGGAGGCGGGTGTGTCTCATGACAGGACCCAAAGCGACTGGCTGCGTTGGGAGGTAGAGTGGGAAAAGTTGGATTTCCCGCTGGAGACCTGGAGGTGCTGCATGTGGTACAGTGAGTGGATGGCTGCCTGCCTGCCTGGCTGTCTGCACTATGCACTAGTATGCACAGACATACGATCATAACGAAGCGCATCAGTGAGTGTTGAAGCGATATGTATGCAATAGTCCGCTAGCCAGCCACACACATGACATCACCAGGAGGCAGTGAGTGTGGCTGTCGTGTTCGGGTGTCTGATGCACTGCTGTGAGAACAATTGCTAACGGCACTCACACATGCATCAAGCACGAGAAGACGACAGCCACACTCACCCAGAACTCCCACACATGCGCCACAAGTCAGCCATTCGACGCACAGCTACCCTCGTCCGTCAGTTAACACAACAGCAACTCACCGTGCCTATCCCCTACCTACAAACACGAGCACGGATCCATCCATCCATCGATACACATTAACGTCGCCATGAATGGGTGCATGGCGGGGCGGCAGGCCTATCTATATATCGTCACTCACACCCCGATGTGATGTAGCTACGTGCGCGTGTTGGCCTTGATGGTCTCCCATATGGTGCGTGCCATCCGCTCGCCGCCCCTGCCGCTGGGCTCCACCCGGTCGACATAGAGGGATGTGTCCTTGCCGTCCAGTACGGCGAAGAACGGCAGCGGCACCACCAGTGTGCCCTCGATGGTGCCACTGATGGCACATGTGGCCAGCTCGTACACCTTGCGAATGGCCGCCTGCAGCTTCTCGGGGCGACCGTTGTAGCCCAACGCCTACACACACATAAACACACGCCTCTCATCCACACACACATCCTTGCCTCCCTCTTGGGTGTGTTGTGTGTGTTCCGACTGGCTGCCTCGCCTCGCTGACTGACCGCCAGAGTGCCGTCGGCCCAGGAGCCCGTCTTCTGCTCGTCCGGGAAGTAGATCATGCACACGATGACCATGGCCGGCCGCACCCTCTCGATCACCTTCATGATGTACCGCCGCGTGTCGTCCCGGAACATCCGGACGAAGTGGCTCAGACCCCACGCGCCGCCCGGCGATGAGCACCGGCCGATACTCTCGGGGCTCTGGAAACCCATCAGCATCAGCAGGTTGAATATCGTCGAGAAGGTGGGCCGGAGGGCGATGTCGTTGCCACCGACAGACACGACGAGTATGTCGTTGGGCCGTATGCGGTCGCGGATGAACATGTCGTGCTTGAGCAGATGGGAGCCATTGCGGGCGCCGAGGGTGGACTCCTCGACGGCACAGTTGATGCAGACACTGGTGGGGGTGGTCGGGGCGGCCTGGTGCCTTTCGTGGGCAATGATGTTGTTGAGGTGGAAGGCCACGTCAGGGCGGCACAGCGGCGGCTGCAGGATGTTCTCATACCTACAACCAACCACGACACAGCCAATATATCAACACGCTTCTCTGCATCCTTCTTTGGCGTACATACCCGTTGGTTGCGGGCTGCCTGGGCTCCATCAGCCAGTGTTTGTTGTCGAGGGATGAGTCGCCCGCGAACCATATGAACCGGTGCGGCTGTGTGGGTGGCATCTGGGCCTTGAGGCTGTCATACAGCAGCGTGAGGTCGCTGATCTTGTGCCCGTGATACTCGGAGAAGAAGCGCTGGTGGGGAATCGCCATAGCAATGCAGCCGACGATGGATAACGATGATAGATGCAGCAGACACAACAGCATGCAAAATGCAGCAGTGGTTTCAGGGTTACGACCCTAAGGTACATTCCGTGAAACCGCTCCCTCTAGAGAATCGTGGCTCTGCATTTTGGTGTTTGGCGAGAAAGAGGGCCTTCGAGGAACCGTATCGACCGGTGGAAGATAGCTTTGCGTCCCTTTATCGCGGGGAGGCCTGCAGCAGCAGTTGACGAGTGGCTGAGGGCACGACTTGGAGGCATTTCGGTCACCAACAGGACAGGTGAGGGCGGCAGGGCGCGACAGGGAAGGCAGCAGCCCGCATTCCCTCCACAACGAACGTTTCCCTTACGCATGCAGTGCTGGAGCATTCTTGGCGTGTGGTGAGAGCACCGCTCTCGGGGTACTCGGCAGTCTAGAAGAGGGTCGTAGCTCGCGATTCAGAGGCCACGGTGAGGTCCCCATGAAGGCGAGCTGCACGAGTGCGTTCACCGATGGCGACTTTGCAACTCTCTGTGTGTGTGCAGGAGGCCGTGAGTTTGTCGTGAGTGGCGTGGAGCGATGGCGCGTCGGAGCAGCCGTCTGGCGGCTAAAGCTGGCGGCGCAGTGAAGCAGGATGAGAATCCCAAGGAGG